AAACTACCGCTGCCTATAGACATCCACAATTGGAGATGCGTTGCCTCCACTAAAACGACTTACCTTTTGATGGTCGTAAGATACTGGTTTCTTGTAATGGTTGGAATTTAAGTTCCCGATATTTCAGCACTTTTATATGTGCCATGTTTATCGTATTTAAAGTATTGACTTTTATTCATTAAACAAGGCCAACTACAATATTTAATTTGTGTAAATGTTATTTTTAATTATTAATTACTAAAATCAATACTTATAATTATTCCTAAAGAGAAAATATTTGTATTTTTGTATGTATTGAAATAACTCGAAAACTATTGGGCTGATTTCAAAAATTCTTTCACCATTAAAAAGCTACGTTATCAGTGAGTAACATAGACTATATGTTTCATCATTTTTTTAATTCTAAATTCTAAATCAAAATCGAGTATAGTTATACAACCGCAAAAAATAGTAAGGTGTTTTGTCGAAGTAGTAGCGGCGCCGGGGTAATTCCTAGTCTGATTAAGCCCAACGGCAGATCCAAGGGGGGGGGGGTCATAGGGGTCATGACTCCCCCCCTGACCGGGTTGGTCAAGAGCTTGACAAAATATATTTACATATTTTGTCAAGCTCTTGACTTGACGACTATGTGATTGTGACCCCTCTGGCGCCAAAGCTAGATCCGCCCTTGATTAAACCGGATTATTTGTCTCAGGGTGGCAACTATTTAGAATCGAAGCAGTTTAACGATATTTTGGTGTTTGACTTCTACGATCAATACCAAAACTTGACATTAAAAACTGCACTGATATTGAAATGGGCGTCAGAGAAGTGCCCGCAGGCAAAGTTTATATTCAAGACAGACGACGACGTTCTTGTAAATCCATGGATGTTATACAATGTTATAAAAGATCATCCAAACGCGCAATTACTCGGTAAGTAATACGTTTTATAAACTTGACTTTCTCTTACCCGCGACTCTGCGGTCAGCATTAAAAAGAAACTTAGTGAGTAGCCCATTTGCTCTTCTAAACTATATTTTGCATTTATATCTTATGTCCGGTTCACACGGACTCCTGGTGCCAGTTAGCGTACACACTGTGCCAGTTGATTGTGAGTCCAGTTATTAAGCCCTACTGACCAACTGTACTGACAAAGTGTAAACCGTGCATAACAGCAAAATCCATTGAGTCGTTTTACAAATAACTTCTAACATCCATCTAAGAATGGATTCTTGTTTTGTTATCTATACTAATATTATAAAGAGGAAAGATTTGTATTTTTGTATGTATTGAAATAACTCAAAACCTAGTCGGCCGATTTTAATAATTCGTTCACTATTAGAAAGGTAATTAATTTGTGAATAACATAAAATATATTTTTTAATTTTACGCAGGCAAAGACACGGGCAACAGCTAGTTATTAATTACGCTTATGTCAATATTATACTCATTCAGGTTACAGTATAAACGAGACGAAGCTGCACAGAGATGAGTACAACAAGTATTTCGTTCCTCGTTGGCTGGCGAGAGATGACGTCATACCTCAGTATCTCTCCGGCACTGGGTACCTTATTAACGGTATAGCAGTTATCAGATATATTGGCGGCTTTAAATATAATGAAAATCGCTGCGCTTGAAATAAATTTCAAGGGCCTGTCCCACCAAATTGTAAATTATCTAATAACAATCCAATATGTAAAATATGTGACAGTAAAGTCATTTTTAAGCTATCTGAGCCTCTATCAGCCAGTGGTGGGACAGGTCTTTACAGCGACAGTGTCTTCTAATTTCAAGTCTGACATTTAATAGTAGAAAGACCTTAGATGAGAAATAACATAGATTTTAACTTCAATTAGTCGATGGGAAAGGGTAGTGCTGCCGTTGAGTTGCACACAGGGCGCTTGACAGAAAGGGGTGTTGCAGAGTTACGAATTTCTTTTACATAACACTCTTAACCCTTAGTTATAATAAAAACTGTGCCTTAAATACACGTCTCCCTTTAGAAGAATTTGTGTAGGAATAAGAAATGAACTACGTTAGAAAATAACCTCAAACTTGTGAGGCAAAGATTCGTCTCAGCTACATCATTTGCATTTCAGGCGCTTATATAAAATCTATCTTACACACGGCATATACAGTGCCAATGATGAACGTAGAAGATGTGTACATCACATACTTGGTGGCGAAGAAGACGTTGAACCTGACCCTCACTCATGATAGAAGGGTGAGCCCCATGAGGCCCTGGGTCACCTTTAGTTGTCTGTACTGGCAGTTGGCTGCAGCGCACAGCGTCAAACCTACGGAGATATTACGGATATGGCCGAATCTGAAGATAATTGGAAAGGAATATAATAGAAAGAAAAAAGTCTGTCTTGGATATGAGTTTTTTAATAAAGATATTTTTTTATATTGAAGTGATACTTGACTGTTTACAAGAATAGATACGATGAAGTTACCGGTGTTGAGGGTGAATACATAGAGGTTAGAAAACATGAATATTTACGTAAATATTTACATCGATGTGATTTTTATGTTTTATTGTATTTTTTATTATTATTTTGATATCAAGTATTGTTATAATTAAAGTCGTATTAAAAGATTTTATGATGAAAATGTGTTTGAATGTTTGGTTTACGTCTTACTAAATTTTTCTAGTTTTAGTGATTTTGTTTCTTAAATTGTGAACCCTCCACTTTATGCCTCATCCATACCGTGATGTTCATAGCCTAGTGTCATAATCCTTGACTATGGACGACAGCATTGTCATGGCTTGTTCTAAGGTGTCTGTTTCAATTTAAAGATTTGTATATGTCTACAAAATTGTCTGTTTCTGACAAGTTTTAAGGAAATAAAAGTATTATAAAATGGAATGTAATTTGCATGTTCGTGGCCAGATGCGACGCAGCTGTGGTCAACTGATAAGCTTTATAGTCCTCTCTTCTTATTGGAAAATCAACATTGTGAGGCTCATTTCACTCGCGGTACACAGGGACGGACTCAACTTTAATATTTTTTTTTATTAATAAAGTAAAGGTCCGAAGAAAGTAAACATAATAATAATTAATAAAGTTACGTCTATAATTCTGATATTTAGAAAGAAATTACAGATTTCTGTTCCATACAATTTAGGCCAGATTTATTTTTATTTATATTAAAAATATCATTTCTTTTGTAAGGAAATTTCTTCTTTCCTTCTATAATCGTAATTTTTCTATCTATATAAAATCCACCTAGATCTCTAAAATATTTTCCCTTTATAATTTTAAACTAAATGATTAAAAGTAATAAAATAAACTACCTAATGTAGAAAGAAATGGTAATTAAAAAATCTAATAGTTTTTTTTCTGAATACGTCCCTGTCCGATTTTCAACAATGAATCGCGTATTGTAATGACTAGAAGTCATATAAAGCGAACTCGGAGCGACATTGCAAACAACTGCAGTGACGTTTTGCACAATGGACGTGAAATTTGTGATCCTTTTAGTCTGCCTGCTCACCCTCCTGCCGACACCTGGACATGCTGGTAAGTTGCAAGTTATAATCATATCTTCTAGAAACAGAAGTAGACGAAATATTCCTTTTAAACTGATAGTCACAGATTAAAGTAATTGTGATTTTCTAATATATATAATTGTAAAAGCCACTAATTCATCAGGACAGAGTATTTAACCATTTTAGCATTCTCGGATGCTAGCAAATCATAAATATTGGGTCACCAAGCAAAATGATTATCCCAAAGTTGCAAGCAACAGTCGTTCCATTCAGTGGAATAAAAAAAGAGTTTCGTCCTATCAGTCTCTTTTTAAATCTAAATAAATAATGAATTATTGTAGATTTCTTATATAATAGAATAAGTCCGAAGACGCCGGAGGAACTAGATGCGTTAAATCTCAAATGCGTCCCCGGTAGGACGATTTTAAAGATAGAATCAGTCGCCGATAAAAGTTTATACGATGAAGATGGAACTGAGGAAGACGATGGTGAAATAGAAACGGATACGAGACGAGTTCATACAAATTTTCAACCGAAAGATGACAGTTGTAAAATATGCGTGTGTTCTGTGGAAGGGAAAGATGAATACTGCAGCAAAAGACCAGCGATGAACGTCAACGAATGTATGCGAATGACAATGATCAAAGATAGTTTCAATAAGAATATACCTTTCGATCATGAAAGATCTCTCTCTTATCGGATTAGAAGAGGTTTGTGCGTTCAACTAGAGTTGGGGCAGCTGATAGAAAGCTTGGTATTGCTTCGGTCAATTATTGTTAACAAATGTTGCGTTAAAATTTAAATTATCTTTTCGTATTACATTGCTATACTTTTTGCGGAGTAAATTAGTAAATTAGTAAATCAGTAGTTAAATATAAACTGTTTGAAGGTGGCTAGTTGTTATATTATTATAATTTTGATTTCGATTCCAAATCACAGATTACCTTTGGCATAAAGACGAAATCCCGTACTCAGCGAACAGTCTTTGCTTTCGAGGTGTGTCTTACTACACTAATAATGAGAACGCGAAGAATTCAACGATAGCTAAACAAATGAGGGTCGCGTCCCAACTTGACTACGGCACCAGAAATATTTGCTACTTCTGCGTCTGTCATACCTCCGGTTCTGTGCCAGCTTGCATCGTGAGGAACCCTTGGTTCTGCGACTACTACCGCGTTATGAGAAGACCGAACTACGCTAGGGATAGATACAGATACCTGTTTAAAGAAGACAGGCCGGCGTACTTTAGACAATTGTCTTATCGAATTAGAAGAACCATGGATGACGGAATAATGGAATTACTAGATAAGGGTATGAATACAAGGGGATTATGCGTGGTTTTTACACTGGTCTTTATTAACTGCTGTCTGGTTTTTAAAAAGATTTACTATCTATTATTATTTCTTGTGTTATTTAAGTATAACGTGTCGTCTTCTGCTACCAATCTAGAGAAATGCGGATTAAACGATTTGAAAATTTTATCATTATTGGCTTTGCATGTTAGATGCTTGTTTTTTCGACTTGTAGAC